AGCAGACATCAGCAGACAACAGCAGAGAGCAGCAGAGAGCAGCAGAGAGCAGCAGAGACCAGTCGAGATCAGCAGAGACCAGCCGAGAGCAGCTCTTTGCGGCTCTCTGCCGGGTCTCTGCTGGTCTCTGTTGCTCTCTGCGGCTGTCTGCTGTCTGCTGCTCTCTGCTGGTCTGCTGCTCTCTGCAGTTGCCTGCTGCTGTCTGCAGCTCTCTGCTTGTCTCCGCTGGTCTCTGCTGGTCTCTGCTGGTTTCTGCTGCTCTCTGCTGCTCTCTGCTCTCTCTGCTGCTCTCTCTTGCTCTCTGCTGCTCCCTGCTGTTCCCTGCTGCCCTGTACAGCTGTCTGCTGCTGTCTGTTGTTTCAGCAGCGGCCGCACCACCACTTCGCCGCGTTTCCCCTCGCGTGCGTTGCACCTCGGCGACTTCCTGCAGCTGAAACACACCAACAACATCGGCCCCCGAACGGACGGTAGCGATCTCGTGGACGACGGGTGCTGCAAGTACGCGGAGCTGCCGACGGTGGAGATTCAGCACGACATCGAGATGCCCTCTCATATCCCCAACGTCTTCGATTTGCAGGGAACGAAGCTCTTCGAGTCCGGGGACCCCCTGCTCGCGTTCTTGGGGTGCATGCGCGAGGGCAGGCGCTTCCCGCCCCAGACGTGGTCCGCATGGGAGAAGACGTTGGCCTCCGACGGCCGCGGCGTCCTGAACCTTCGGCGCGGCATGGGCATCTATTGGGAGACGCTGGCGAGATGGATGAACACGCGCGCTCGTCGCGACGCGCGGCGCCTGGGCGGGCCCCTGGTTTTCCCACATGCCGTGGACGAGTGCAACGCGATCCGCGGAGATCCGACGCGGGCTGACACCTCCTGAACGTCCCGAACATGCACGACATGGGGAACATCTATGGCGTCTTACTTGCTCACGTCGGCAGAGGTTCGGGTCGCGGCCGTGCAGGTGGATCTGAAGAAGAAGAAAAAGAAGTTGAGGCTTGCGCAGGAGCAGCGGGCCACCATTTTGTCCTTCGAGTTCCACCCCGAGGACGAGTAGCGGTACATGGATTGTGCGCCTGGCCAGCTGTTGACGACGACGGCGAGGCCAAGGCGCGGGCGCGGAAGTTTTTCATGTTCAGGCCCCACGAGCAGGAGTTCACGTGTCAAAGCTCGGGGCCGCACGTCGTGCGCCGCCCAGAGTTCACCCTGACGCCCAAACCGTGCCTGACCTCCACGCTGTCGCAGGGCCAGGCGCTGCGCAAGGGCGTCACCGTCGACTGCGCCAGGGACAAGGGCGCTGGCCGCGCGGGCGCGGGGAACGACCAGTGGCGGCTGCATCTGTACGTCGCGCTTACCCGCGCCGCGTGCGTGCGGAACGTGCTGATCCCGCGGCCGCCCCCGCGCGAGTTGCTGGAACGCGGGCCGCCGGCGCCCCTGCGGGCGGCGCTGTGGGACTTCGACGAGAAAGCGGATATCTCCATAATTGTGGTGGAACAGCTCGCAGCAAAGCTGGGTTTCGCGCTGCCCCCTGCTTGAGTGCGGCGGCGCCCTGCTCGAGGCTTGTGGCGATGCCCAAAAGACTTCGCGATCTGGCCAAACGCCCTTGCCGACCAGAGTGCCGACGGCGCCAGTGACAAATCGACATGGTGTGCCCGTGGAGGAGAAGTGTGGGGGGTGGCGGCGAGGGGGAGAGGCAGGAAGACGACGACGAGGAGGCGCAGCAGGGGGCGGGAGGAGGGCTTCGCCAGAGGAATGGGGCAGCTCTCGTGTCGGGTCCTACCGTCGGAGTATTGGTGCTTCTGTTGTGTTCTCTATTTTGACTCCTCTCGCCGCGGGCCGCTCTTCGTGGGCCGCGGGCCTGCAAGCGGCCCCTGGACGCCCATCTCGCGAAAAACCGCTTGATGCGATCGTCTCGCCACGCTGCGCCAGACGTGACGGAAAGAGCGAAGTACGAGTGATGCCGTTTTCTGTGGGGCGAAGCCGTTTAGGGATGGTCTTCAGGGGCGGCAGCGTAGCGCAACCGGGCTGGCGTGGCACGCCCTCGCCCTTCCACTAAGGTTGCCCAAGAGGCTCCCCCAAACGGCCAAGAACCCCCCAAGACGGCCCAACAGAGGTCCAAGAGGGCTTCGAGACGGGCCAAGAGTGCTCCGAGAGAGCCCGAGACCGCCCAAGAACATTCCAAGATGGCTTCATATGGTTTCGGGACGGTCCAAGAGGGCCTCAAGACGGTGTCAGAGTTTCTCAAGAAAACCCCACCAGGGCTCGAGGAGGTCAAACACATTATTTGTCCGTTGTCTTTCCAGGTTTTCTGGGTTCTCGCTGGTTCGGGCTTCCGACGGTACAAGGCGGGCCAACAAACCAGCAAATCGCCGCAAAACGGCCCATGTGGTCCCCAAGATGGCACCAAGTCGGACCAATATAGCCCCAAGACAGCCCAAGAGGGCTCCAAGAGGGGCTCCGAGGGGCCCGAGAGGCCCCCAATTGAGCCCGTGGAAGGCCATGTGAGGCTCCCAAGAGGGCCGAAGAGGGCCCCGAGAGGACCCCGAGACGCCCCAAGCCCCGAATGACGCCCCAAGGGCTCGGGGATGGCCCAATATCCTTCCGAACGGGCACCTCAAATGTCCTGAGGTGGCAAACGGCATTTCATGTTTTTTGGGGATCTCGCCGGTCCAGATCGGCCGAAGACGGCTCGGAGGGCCTTTCGAGATTGCCCCAGAGACGGCCCAGGAGGCTCCAGCCAGGACCCCAAGACTGCCCCAGAGGGCCCCAGGACGGCCACATGGAGCCCCAGAAGGGGTGTCGTAAACAACTCTTCGCACCAAAGTTCCCAAGAGCGAGCGGTGACGCAACCAAGCTCGTGACGCCAATGCTCCCGAGAGCGAACGATGACGTGAAGCAACTCTTCGCACCAAGGCTCCTAAGAGCGAACGATGACGTGGACAAGCTCTGAACGCCACGGCCCTCAAGAGCGAACGGTGCCATGAGCCCTCTCGGGCAAGTTCCTGAGGTGCTCTGATCGTTCCTGTGCCAGCCCAGGTCTCAGAACCCTGCCGGACGAGCTTTCAAACACGCCTCCAGATTAACGCTGGCATGATGGTGGATCTCGTCAGGCTGGCGGGGCCTGCCGACGATGGTTCCACCGTAGGAGTAGTAGTAGTAGTAGTAGTAGTAGTAGTAGTAGTAGTAGTAGTAGTAGTAGTAGTAGTAGTAGTAGTAGTAGTAGTAGTAGTAGTAGTAGAGTAGTAGTAGTAGTCGTAGTAGTCGTAGTAGTAGTCGTAGTAGTAGTAGTAGTAGTAGTAGTAGTAGTAGTAGCAGCAGTAGCAGCAGTAGCAGTAGTAGTAGTAGTAGTAGTAGTAGTAGTAGTAGTAGTAGTAGTAGTAGTAGTAGTAGTAGTAGTAGTAGTAGTAGTAGTAGTAGTAGTAGTAGTAGTAGTAGTAGTAGTAGTAGTAGTAGTAGTAGTAGTAGTTTAGTAGTAGTAGTCGTAGTAGTAGTAGTAGTAGTAGTAGTAGTAGTAGTAGTAGTAGTAGTAGTGTAGTCGTAGTAGTAGTAGTAGTAGTAGTAGTAGTAGTAGTAGTAGTAGTAGTAGTAGGAGTAGTAGTAGTAGTAGTAGTAGTAGTAGTAGTTGTAGTAATAGTAGTAGGATGAAGAAAAGAAGGCCGAGAACCTTCCTCAGGACGTTGATACGCTCATGATGAGGAGGATCAGGATGAGGATGAGGGTGAGGATGAATAAGAGGTGAGGGTGAGGGTGAGTATACGGATGATATTGGTGACGATAGTGTTGATGCTGTTGCTGATGATGTTAATGATGCCGACGATGATGATAGTCATGCTGATAGTGATGATGATGCTGCTGACGAGGATGAGGCTTATGACGAGGCATATGATGATGCTGATGATGACTATGATGATGAGGATGATGATGATGCTGATGATGGTGGTGATGATGCTGTCGATGAGGATGACGATAATGCTGCTGCTGCTGATTATGATGATACCCACGACCTGATGATGATCATGCATATGATGATGCTGCTGATGGTGATGATGATGATCATGATGATGGTGATGGTGATTATGATGATGATGATGATGATGATGATGGCGATGGGTAACGAACGATTGTGATAGTGATGGTGGATGTGGTGTCAGTCGTGGCGGTGTCGATGAAAATAATGTGGATGCTGCGGCTGCCGATGATGACGATGACGATGATGATGATGATGATGATGATGATGAGGATGATGACGATGATGATGCTGATGATGATGCTGATGATGGTGATGATGATGATGAGGATGATTCTGACAATTGTGATGATACTGCTGCTGATGATGATGACGACGCCGACGAGGATGATTATGGTGATGACGTTGATGATGATGATGATTATGATGATGATGCTGATGATGATGATGATGATGATGATGATGATGATGATGTTGCTGATGTTGCTGCTGCTGCTGCTGCTGATGATGATGATGATGATGATGATGATGTTGATGATGTTGATGGTGATGACGACGACGCCGCTGGCGAGGATAATGATGGTGGTGGTGGTGATGGTGATGATGATGACGATGTTGGTGGTGGTGGTGGTGGTGGTGGTGATGATGATGATGATGATGGTGGTGGTGGTGGTGGTGGTGGTAATGATGATAAGGATGAGGATGAGCATGAGGATGAGGATGAGGAGGAGGAGAAGGAGGAGGAGTAAGAGGAGGGCCGAAAGGGGAGGAGCGACATGAGGAGGAGGAGGAGGAGGAGGAGGAGGAGGAGGAGGAAGAGGAGGAGCCGGATAAGGTGGTCAGACCCCTCCTGGTCCAAGGAGGTTATTATATTTTACCTCCTGTGTCGCTGACGGGGCAGCGGAAGGACCGCGCGGGAGAGCGTCGGAGAAAGAGTGAAGGATGGTGCAGACTGGGAGGATACTTAAGGCAGAGGATGAGGGTCAGGAGGGGGGGGGAGCAGGAGAGGGGTGCTGCCGTGGCCGCTGCCGCCGTGGAGGCCATCAACGCTGGCGCCGTCGTCCTGAGAGGTCCTGAGGCCGCCTTCGCCGAGGAAGAGGAGAGGACGAAGGTGGGCCCTCGGCCTCCCACCCCCCCGTCGCTCGCGCCCGCGCCTCTTCCCTCCTCTCCCAAGCCCGCGCAGCAGAAACCCCGCCGCCTCCTCTTCCTCCTCTTCGTCCTCCTCCTCGTCCTCCTCCTCGTCCTCCTCCTCCTCCTCCTCCTCCTCCGAGAAAGGGGGCGAAGCGACCCTCGAGCACGCTCGACCTCCGTGCGGGTCGCTGTCAGGGGCACAGTCGCCCCCCAAGGGTTCTCTGGGATGCCGCCCCCGTGCGCAGCGGCCCGCGGGTCTGTCTGCATCGCCGAGGCGCCTCGGCAGCCGATGCGGCCCCGATGGAGTGCCGGGGCCCGTGCGTTCCTGCTACCTCCCGTCCTTCCTCCCCCACGCGCTGCTCATCCTCTCCCGATCCTGCTGCCGCCCCGTCGCCGTTCTGGCCCTGGCAGGGCCCTTGACCAATCCTACGGCCGCGCCCGTGGTGGGCGCCAGCGCTCTGGCCCGCAGCGCGGGCTGGTGCAACAAAAGCTTCTGCGGCTCCGCCAGTGGTAGCGGAGCCCGCCGGAGGCGGGCAGAGCCGCGGTGTCGACAGCGTCGGGAAGAACACCCACGATCTCGACAGCGTCGGGAACAACGTCTTCGGTCTCGACAGCGTCGGAACTGCGCCAACGGTCTCGACAGCATCGGAAACTACGTCGGTTTCGAAGGCGTCGGGAACCACATCGGTTTCGATACCGTCAGGGACCACATTGACGGTCTCGATGGCGTCAGGGACTGCACGAACCTACTGCGGCAAGGATGCCTCATCGTGACGACCAGCTCGGCGCAAGCGATTCGGGCTACAGCCTTATCCCGCCCAGGGACCAGGCTCCCCAGGGCTGGAAGCGGTACCGTGGCGACGTGGAGATATGGGCCTTGGGGGACGAACCTAGAAGCGAATTGCTGCGTGGCGGTTTGGCTGGTCTCGCGTCTTCGAGGGGCTGCCCGCCGGGTGTGGTTGAGAGCTCCTCGGGGCCAGCGCCAGCCCATCCCCGCCCAGCGGTCGCAGTTCGATGATGACAGTACTGTGATCGAGGAGGCACAGCCGGCCGACTACATGAGGGGAACCAGCAATGTGCTGCAGCCCCTGGACGACGCTCTTGGCGGGCAGCGCCCAGCGCGCAAAAGCGAAATCGTGGGTTACTTCTTGAAGGGCGTGCACTATAGCCGAAGGGCAAGCGATCGCATGGCCGACAACGTGGCTCGCTTCGAGGAAGGCGTTCGAATGCTCGAGGACGTCGGAGTAAGGTTTGAGACCTAAACGACATCTTGGGCAGGTGGTTTTTAGAAGAGTGTAGTCTCTCAACCGAGGGGAGGAAAAACGTGGTCTCGTCGATCCCGGCGGTGGTTCGTCGAAGAAAGGAAGTAAAAAGGCGTTTCACGGGCAGTGGCTCATCGGGCCCCAAGGGCGTCAACGTGACCGAGCGCGAGGACGACCACGACGCCGAGGGCGAGGAACCCTATCAGGAGGATCGCGACGAGTACGGCGACTACGACGACCGCGTCAACGAGCTGAGTGAGGTCGAGGTCGGCGAGACCCGCCAGGAGCTCGAGGCGTTGGAGACGGAGTTCGAGGAGGCCGACATCGACCTCCGCCGCCATGGAGGAGGCTGCCCTGCAGGTCTCCCAGTTGCTCGAAGTCCTCGTGGTGATCCGTGACGCCCGCGGGCGCATCCAGGGGCGTGATGGTGGCAATCCACGCGCCGTGGCAAGTTGGGCGGGAAGTCCTCCGGCTCTGTGGCTCTGTGGGAAGGACCTCGCCTCGTCGAGGGCTGGTGGCTCTGACGCGGGCCAGGGGCTGGCCCCGCGCTTGAGGGGTCGCAAGGCGAAATCGACCTGCATGGCGCGTGGCAAGAAGGGGCGCTTGGCAGGAGACCCGGGGTGCGAAGCCCTCGCGCGGCGTGCGCGACGGCGGCCAGAGACTCCTACACCGGCGACGGCGCTCTGGCGGTCGCGAGGGCCGACGCGAAGGAGCAGATCAAGGAGGTGCTACGCGGTGAGTTGGTGCGCCGGGTCAAGGGCCGTCCAGAGGGCGTGGTCGATGCCGCGTGCTTCATCTCGGTAGTGGGCGATGTCTGGTGGGCGGCCTACTGCGAGGCGGCGAAGGAGGTCGTCATCGACCGGCTGATCGGCGCGAGAAGTTCAGACTCGTCGACGGCGGCGCCCCCCGGTCTTGCGAGGCTTTCGGGTTTTCGTCCGTGGTGGCGGGCGTGGCCGTGGCCGTGATAGCGCGGGCCCGCGTGTCGGCCTCTTTGTCGGCCGGGGCTTCCTGGAGGCGATTGCTGCGATCGTCGACGTCGCGAGGGAAATGCTTGCCGTGGGCTCGGGCTCGCCGCAGCTACCGGGCTCGGAGACCGCCAATCGTTTTGGTGCTAAAGCCGAAGAGGGGCAAAGCGTTGTCCGAAGCGTGTGCGGGCAAGGAGGGGCTTCCGTCGAAGCTCGGACGCCGTCTGCGTTCCTCTCGCACTCCCCGCGGGCGATGGGGCCCCTGGCCCTCAAGGTCTGCGCCGTCGCGGCTCTCGCGTGTGGTTCCAGGGCGGCTGCCAGCTCCGCGACGGCAGCTGGGCGGCTCGAAGGCCGCGACCCCCCGTCGGGGCTCGCGTCGTCGCTCGCGCCCGCCAGACAGTTGCATCTGGGGAGACGTCGGGATCTCCCTGCGGGGATCGATGCGCGGCGTGTTATAGCTGGGCCGAATGACTGCCAGGATCTTAAAGATTCTACCTGGGTTGTGACGACGGGGCCTTGCGCCGCCGCTTGTGCGTGCGCGGTGTGCTGCAAGAAGGTCTGCCTGTTTCCGTGCCAGGTCTGCGGCATTGGCGCGTGCGCGTCGCGTCGCAGAGGACTGCAGTGCACGAGGTGCTACCGCGGCGTCAGCGACGTCGTGGCGAAGGTCGGGCAAGGCGCCGAGTTTGCAGTGCAGCACCAGTCGTAGAGGAGATTCCGATCGGGCGCTGCAGCGCATCGCGAGGTGGGGGCGCGGCAGACCAGCGCACTACGCAATCACGGAGTCCGATCAGCATGTGTGCGAGAGGCTCCGGGGGCCCACCAGAAAGACACTTTGGTTTCGACGGCGTCGGTTCGAAGTGCGAGGCCGCGAAGGCCCGGCCACCTCGTGGAGTTCTGATGCGAGAACGCCAGTATTCGCTACACGTAAGAGTGACCATGGCCCTCGAGGGGAAGAAGTGCCCGGATGAGGAGATATCGCGCCCGAGGAGCTCAGTGCTCTGCGGAGCGCCAATTGGCAGCTGCAGTGGCTTGCCCACAGGTCGAGGCCGGACGTCGCATTCGATCAGAACAAGCTGGCCCGGCGCACCTCGGACCTGAATGTGAGCGACATGATTGGCATCGCAAGCTGGTAGGGCACGCGCAGGAGACAATTGGGCGCAGCATATTCTTCAAGAGATGCGCGGTGGCCATCAAGGGGGCGGCCGTGCTGGCGTATGGAGATTCTTTTTTCGGCAGCGTGCCAGGCGAGAAGAACCAGGCTGGCGTGGTGCTCTGCCGGGCGAACAAGCCCAGGGACATGTTCGAGGGCAGGTTCGATCCAAGGGGACCCCTGGTCTGGGCCAGCTTCCGTGAAGTCGATCGCGCATTCGACTCTCGCGGCAGAGGCTTGCGGCGTCAGCGAGGCCATAGTGCATGGCCAGTTTCTACGCCAATTCCTTCGGGGGCTTTGCTTTCCAGGCGAGTCCGAGCTGACGGAGATGGAAGTCGCGCCCGCTCGCGGACCGACCCGCGCGGCGGCCAATGGCGACAGCCTGGAGGGAGAAGTCAACGAGGATAGCGGTGTGGTGGCCGACAGGCGGCGTCGGGTACATGTGTTTTTGATTTGAGAGAGAGAGAGAGAGAGAGAGAGAGAGAGAGAGAGAGAGAGAGAGAGAGAGAGAGAGGAGAGGAGAGAGAGAGGAGAGTAAGAAGAGAGAAGAGGAGAGAGAGAGCCCTGGTCGATCAGAGACCCGAAAGAAGAGAGAGAGAGATGGATAGAGAGAGAGGAGAGAGAGAGAGAGAGAGAGAGAGAGAGAGAGAGAGAGAGGGGGGAGCGAGATATATATAATATATATATTATGTATTTATGTTATGTTATATAGAGAGAAGAGAGAGAGAGATGAGGAGAGAGAGAGCGAGAGAGAGAGAGGGGGCAGAGAGAGAGAGAGAGAGAAAAGAGAGAGAGAGAAGAGAGAAGAGAGTGATATGAGAGAGACGAGAGAGAGAGAGAAAAAGAGAGAGAGAATAATAATTATAGAGAGAGAGAGAGAGGAGAGAGAGAGAGAAGAGAGATGAGAGAGGAGAGAGGGAGAGAGAGAGAGAGAGGGATAGAGAGAGAGAGAGAGACAGAGAGAAGAGAGAGAGAGAGAGAGAGAGAGAGAGAGAGAGAGAGAGAGAGAGAGAGAAAAGGAGGGAGAGCGCGTGTGCAAGAGCAGGGAAGACATCCCTGGCGTGGGCCCGTGCGGAATCAATGGTGGCAGACTGTTTGGCGTGATCTCTGACGTGCCGGGCGAGCGTCGTCGCGCCCGTTGGCTCCGAGAAGTTCGGGGTGCTTTCGTTTCGGCGCGTGTGCCCGGCAGATGGAGGGCCGCGCTGCTGATGGCGTCGGTCGGTTCGGCCGCATCTTCGAGAAATATCGTGGCGAGAGGGTGCAGGTCCGCGTCGTCGGGAGATACCTCGCCGAGAACTTCCAGTTCCACATGTTCGAGAATTTTGCGGCGCCGCGGGGGCCCCGCCCGGCAGGTCCTTCGTGCGATTCAACATCGGGCGGGGGGAAGTCGACGAGAGGCGGAGCATGGCCCCGGCGATGCGCATCGCGGCGATAGCCTCGAATGCGACGGCGGCGACAGCGCCGAATCGTTAATCCAGCCCGGGCGACGGAGATGGCGCTTTCGTTTGTATCCTTTTCGCCACCTTGGCGATGATGTTCCTGGCAGTGGGTTGCCGCGCGTGGCAGATGAGGAACCTGGGGGGGGGGGGGCGCGTGAGGCCCCTGCCGATTCCTCGAGAGCCTTGGTTGCAGTATCGCGAGGTTCGGCATCCAGGTGCAGGCCGCGAGATGGGGCCCCGCTGCGTCGGGAGATGCGGGGGTACCAGGACTGCGCGATGGTCGAAATCAGCGAGGTCATCTTCGGGGAAACGCCGGAGGTCTCGGACCAGCATATGATGAGGGAGAATCCGGGGGATGCTGGCCCACCTCGGGGCGAGGCTGCCGAAGGCCAAGGTCGCGGAGACGGTCCCGGATGACTTCGATGTCAAGGCCATCGGGGACAGTTTGAAGACGGAGGGCCTCGAGACTGCTCTGGTCGCGGTCGAGGTCGGCGAGGTGATCTTCGGGCGCCGCAGTGCCAGACTGGCCGCGAGGAGGCGATGGCTTTGGCAGGTGGAGTTTGTTGGCGACGCGAGCCGGAGAACGGCGCAGAGGCGGGGCCTCGGCGGCGAGGGGATTTCCGTGAATGCGTGGAGGTGGCGAGCCCGACGGCGTCCTCAATTTCGACGGGCTCGACATGATGGGGCCATTTCTTCGTGTTTCATTTTCCTTCTTTATCGTGGGTGTGGTCGCGCTGGGGGGCAAGGGCTCGGGGCCTGGCCGGAGCTGCGCAGGAAGGAGGAGCTGACGGGGCCCGTGTATTCCTACTACCTCCTGTCGTTCCTCCCCCGCGCGATACTCATCCGCTCCTGATCCTGCTGCCGCCCCGCCGCCGTTCTCGCCCTGACGGGGCCCCTGACCAATCGCGTGGTCGCGCCGCGGTCGCGCCCGTGCCGGGCGCCGGCGATTTGGCCCGCAACGCGGGCCGGCGGGTTGGCGCAAAAAGAGGCTCCGCGACTCCGCCATGGAGAAGGAGCATCGCATCTACAAGTACAGTCAACATTGATAGCAAGGACGCGCGATAAGGATGCAAGCCCCTTTCCCGCCCTTGTTGGAGCTTTTCGAGCGCGGCGGGCCAGCTAAAATGGTTAAAGACAGGCAGAGGAGGCAAGGATGCTTACGCATCCTTAGTGCCGGTTTGTTCGGTTCGGTCGGTTGTTGTGCCGTTGGCGCGTCGCCGCGCCCGTTTGGGCTGCCTGCGGCCTCTCGGCGTCGGCCTGCTTCGGTTTCGCTGTCGGCTTGGTGGGTTTTCGGTGGTGCGGTCGCCGCGGACGGGGTTGCCGTGGGCCATGTGGTGGATGTTCCCCAGCTCCGCTACCCAACGAGTCCTGGGCGTCGGCGGCTTCTCGTGACATGAGGAGACCTCAGCCTCCCCGTTTGCGCCTTCTTCCCCTCTTCGTCCTCGTCGAAGTCTTCCTCTCCCTCTTCACCTCCTTCCTCTTCCTTCTCCTCCTTTCTCCTCTTTTTCCTCCTCCTCCTCCTCCTCCTCCTCCTCTTTCTCCCCTCTTCCTCCTTTTTCTCCTCGTCGTCCTCTTCCTCCTCACCCCTCTGCTCAATTTCTTAGTTCATGTTTGACTATTTCAGGTTCATTCGTGTAGTGCTCCCAGTATTTCTGGTGACGTTTTGATTCGCGCAGCGGTTAAGGTTGAGTCGGGTGAAGTTATGTGGTCGCGCTCTGTCTGCCTCGACATTTTTCTTTCGCTCGTAATGAGCAGCTCCTCTCTGAGACTCTCTGTCGCACCAGCAGACGTGTCGTTAGGGCGGCTGGGCGTTTCGCTCGAGGAATCCCCACCGTCCACGCTCTTGAGGCATAGATATGCCAACCGCGTTTCCAAATGGGGTTTTCGCTTTGCCGCCGCGCGCACTCGTCTCATTACAATCCAGCAATCACACGGATGGAGGGCAGCTCGTTTTCAAAATCGGGCTCTTGCGTTGACGCCGCCCGCGCACGCTCGTCTGAACAACACCCCAGGATTACATGGATAGCGAGGGCGGTGTCTTTTCCAAAAGGGGCTTTCGTGGTGTGTCACGCGGGCGGCCCGCGTAAACCGCGGCGCAAGATCGCTACATCATCTCGCGCAAAACCCGCCTGCTTCTATTCGTCGCCGATGCGTGCTTCTCGATTTCGGGCTCCGCGGCCGTCAAGAGAAACGGCTCAGGATGAAGGGCTGGTTCTGGAAAAAACACTGCTACCCCACCGGTGGCTGGCTGGCTTTCTAGATAGGGTAGCGAAAAATAGCAAACATAAAAGCTCGGAGGTCCGCGCGGATTTCTCGGATCGCGCTGGACTCGCCTTCCTGGCGCGCGGAGCGCGCCAGGGGCGGCGCCGGAGGCGCCACCAGGGGGGGTCCAGCGCCGATCCGAACAATCCGCGCGGCCCTCTGAGCTTTTATGCCTATCGCATTCTTTGTTAGCCTAGATTCTTTCAGGACGGCCTCCCTGGAAATCCCGACTTTTTCTCCCCGGGGCCGGTTTTTCCTCCCGAGTTGCTCCTGGACGGTCCCGATAGCCAAAAACCTCCCGCCCTGCGTTCTGCGACGCGAGCATGTCTGGGTCAGAAGCACCCCTGCTCCTCAGAAGCATCCCTCTGCTGCCTCTCTGCGGCGCGACCCTGCCTGCGCTCCCGGCGCCCCTTTGGGGCAGCGACCGCCGCCCGTCCAGAGAGCACTTCGCCCCCCCCCCCCTTGCCGCGCCTCTCCGGGCCCGCGGCCGCCGCCCCCCCGAGGGGTCGCGTGCCGGCCGCCGCCGTGGCAGCGCGCTGTCCCGGCGCACCGCCGGCGCGCACCTCCCGCGGGAGGCGGGGAGCCGTGCCCTGCCGCGCGGTGCCGTGTGCAGCAGACCGGATCGCGTCGCAGCAGAAGTCAGGACGGGAGGTTTTGGGCCACTCTCGGCCACTTGCCGGGCGGGCCCCGGGGCCGTCAAGAAGCGATCCAGGAGGGAGCACGGTTCCCGGGGAAGGGGTCGGGACCTGCAGGGACCCCGTGTGGAAGCAATCAGGACGTCGCATGTCTGGGTGCCAGCGGTGGTTTGGCGGCGTCGTGCCGTGCCGTGTGCCATGCCGCAGCGGCCCCCCCCCCTCCCCAAAGCTCCAATCTCGGGAGGGGTCGGCGGCCCTGCTGGGCTGCTCGTGTACCACCACCCAAGGAGGAGGGGGAGGGTGATGATGATGATGATGATGATGATGATGATGATGAGGAGGAGGAGGAGGAGGAGGAGGAGGAGGAGGAGGAGGAGGAGAAGGAGGAGGAGGAGGAGGAGGAGGAGGAAGAGTTCTCCCTCCTCCGCTCCGCTACCGTCACCGCCATAGAGGGTCTTAAAGAAGCACGCGACGAGGCACACGAAACACCCCCGCGGGGCGCCGCCTCTCGACATCATGTCGCGAGCCCAGAGGCGTCAAGCGGCCAGCCCGCGCGGGCACTCCTGGAGTCCAGCCCGTGATGCGGGCGTCACAGGCGACGTCTACTGGCCAGGCGAGGAGGAGCTAAGAACAAACAAAAACCAGTGCGTGTGTGAAAAATGCACCATCTGCTTCCACGGGCTCGGTCACGTGCCGTCCCGGCGTGGCCCCACCCGCTGTCGGGTCAGATGGGCGCTCGCTCGCTCGCTCGCTCGCTCCTTCTTGTTCACCCTCCCGCTCCTGCTGCTGCTGCTGTTCCTCCTTCTTCCCCCTTCTTTCTCCCTCAATTCCGTTCCCCCATCACCCTCCCTTCTTCCGTCTTCCTCGAGCCTTGCTGGGTATCCGAGAGCGGTTCGCTCGCGACGCCAGCCGCGCCAAGGTGAAATCCACGTCCTCACTGCCCTGCTGCTGCTGCTGCTGCTGCTGCTGCTCTTCTCCTTATAATCATTATTCCTCCTCTTCTTCGTCTTCGTCTTCGTCCTGCTCTTCTTCACCTTCATAGTCTTCTTATTATTCTTCGTCTTCCTCCTGCTTCTCCTTTTCCTCCTCCGTCCTCCTTCTCCCCCCCGCTCCCCGCTATCGCCCTCCATCCCAAGCCTTCCCCCTTCTTCTTCTTCTTCTTCTTCTTCTTCTTCTTCTTCTTCTTCACCTCCTCCTCCTCCTCCTCCTCCTCCAGCGGCGGGCAGCCGTGCAAAGGTGAAGTCCAAGTGGGAGGGCAACTACAGGGATCCGCTCCACCCGGGCTGCGAGCGGAAGCTGGTGACGGGAGGGGGTTGCCGCCCCTCCTGCAGACCTCGACGAACAGACACGGCAGAACCATAATCTCTCGGCGCTCCGCGCGGACTTCTTGGAGTGGTGCTTGGCCCCCCTGGCCTGGGAGGGGATCCCAGCTCCGAGGTTCTTAATAAGCGTCAGGGGGGGGGGCGTCACCCCTGCCAACAGCCCCACATCGACCCCCGTCGCGGGCAGCCACCGCGCGCCGAAGGCGCTCCGACCCCCGTCGCGGCGCGACGACGGGGCGAGGTTGACCCCCGTCGGGGGGGTACACCCCCACGCCAATTGAGAAACCCAGAGTATCCGAGAAACCCGCGCGGACCTCCGAGAAATTATGCTCCTGCTTCTTTTGGCTCTCTGGAGACCCCTGGCGCCCAGCGCCCCCGCGCTGTGCAGGGCCGGGCCGTCGGAGGTCTTGGTGTGCGCTTTGCACGGGCCTGTGGCGCCTCGGGTGCTCTGCCAGAGGTGGCCCTGGCCCGAGGTGGCCCACGGCGCCTCCCAGGGCTGGCCTCAATAGGGGGCACGAGGAGGAGGAGGAGGAGGAGGAGGAGGAGGAGGAGGAGGAGGAGGAGGAGGAGGAGGAGGAGGAGGAGGAGGAGGAGGAGGAGGGAGGCGGAGGCGGAGGCGGAGGCGGAGGCGGAGGCGGAGGAGGAGGAGAGGAGGAGGAGGGAGGAGGGAGGAGGAGGAGGAGGAGGAGGAGGAGGAGAGGAGGAGGAGGAGGAGGAGGAGGGAGGAGAGAGGAGGAGGAGGAGGAGGAGGAGGAGGAGGAGGAGGAGGAGGAGGAGGAGGAGGAGGGGAGGGAGGAGGAGAGAAGGGAGCAGGAGGAGGAGGAGGGAGGAGGGAGGAGGGAGGAGGAGGGAGGAGGGAGGAGGGGGAGGGAGGAGGAGGAGGGAGGAGGAGGAGGGAGGAGGGCGGAGGGAGGAGGAGGAGGAAGAGGGAGGAGGAGGGATGGGAGGAGGGAGGAGGGAGGAGGGAGGAGGGAGGAGGGAGGAGGGGAGGAGGGAGGGAGGAGGAGGAGGGAGGGAGGAGGGAGGAGGAGGAGGAGGAGGAGGGGGAGGGAGGGAGGAGGAGAGAGGGAGGAGGAGGAGGGAGGAGGGAGAGGGAGGAGGAGGGAGGAGGGAGGAGGGAGGGGAGGAGGGAGGAGGAGGAGGGAGGAGGGAGGAGGAGGAGGGAGGAGGAGGAGGAGGAGGAGAGGAGGAGGAGGAGGAGGAGGAGGAGGAGGAGGAGGAGGAGGAGAGGAGGAGGAGGAGGAGGAGGAGGAGAGCGGAGGCGGAGGCGGAGGCGGAGGCGGAGGCGGAGGCGGAGGCGGAGGCGGAGGCGGAGGCGGAGGCGGAGGCGGAGGCGGAGGCGGAGGCGGAGGCGGAGGCGGAGGCGGAGGCGGAGGCGGAGGCGGAGGCGGGAGGCGGAGGCGGAGGAGGAGGAGGAGGAGGAGGAGGAGGAGGAGGAGGAGGAGGCGGAGGCGGAGGCGGAGGCGGAGGCGGAGGCGGAGGCGGAGGCGGAGGCGGAGGAGGAGGAGGAGGCGGAGGCGGAGGCGGAGGCGGAGGCGGAGGAGGAGGAGGAGGAGGAGGAGGAGACGAAGAAAACGACGAACAACAATAATAATAATAATAATATTATTAATAATAATACTACTAATACTAATAATAGTAATAAGACTAATAATACTACTATTCATAATTAAAATAAAAAACAATAATAATACTAATACTAATACTAATACTAATAATAAGACTAATTAGACGAACGTAATCAGAATGATATGAAGAACACTGATAATATTAGGAAGAAGAATAGTAATACCAATAATAAGACTAGTAATACGAGTAAGACTAAGACGACTAATCCAACGAATAATAAGACGACTATCCAGAACGCAAATTCATAAGGCGAATAACAAGAGTACTAACCATACTCCTAATACTAGTACTACGTATAATAATACTAATACGAATAAGAATGCTAATAATACTGCGACGAATAATAATACTATTAATAATAAGCACACTAATAGTAGCACTAATAGTAATACTGCGAACAATAATATTATTCATAATAATGATACTAATATTACGGATACTAGCACTACTGATACTAATACTATTACTAATACTATTAGTATTATTATCAATAATACTACTAATACGAGTAATAATAATACTAATACTAATACTAGTGACAACAAGAAGACGAATAAAAATAATAATACGACTACTAAGAAGAAAATGAATAGGAATACTAAGAATAATAAGAAGACTACTACGAAGAATCAGATTAATAAGGATGAAACGGATGATGATGATGATGAGGAGGAGGAGGCTCAGAGCCCCCCCCCTGGGGGGCTCCGAAGTGGCGTTGCGCAGCCGTGGGGCACCTCGGGGCCAGGGCCAGGAGGTGGTCGCTGGGCTCCGCTCGGGGCAGCCCTCCTGTCGAGACCTAGAGGGCCCCCCCCAGGGTTCCAAAGTGGCGGGCAGAGCCGCGGGCACCTCGGGCCAGGACAGCCTCTCTCCTCCCCTCCTCCTCCTCCTCCTCCTCTTCCTCCTCCTCCTCCTCCTCGGACAACCTCTGGTGGCCTCCGAGAGGCGAGCATGGCTGGGTGGGGGGGAGGCCAAGGACGCGCAGGGCGAGACAATGTTTGGAGCCCTGCTTTCACGTTGTGTCACGAGTTTGTCGGTTCATGAGTTGTCGTTTGCAGTTGTGGCGCCACCTCTACTTTGGATCAAATCTCGGCCAGCGTGGGCCCTATTCAGCGCGCTCTTGCACTGTGGAGATGGAAGCTATGCGGTGTAAGCCATGTGGTGAGTGATATGCTGTGTAGGCTATGTGGCGTGAGCCAGGCGGCAACGGGTGGCAGGGTCCTCAGGAGGCAGCGGGCAGCAATGGGCGGTAACGTTTCGGATCCTCGGAACACCCATCCTACTTCCTAGCAGCATGGGCGTACGTTGCGGGGGGAACTCGCCAGGTCGCTCGCCCGCAGGCGACAGGGCATCCTGGCGACGCAGCCACCCAAGTGGCAACAGGCGGCAACGGGCGGCAACGGGGCGAATCCTCGACGCTGCCGCCCATGCGGCAACGGGCGGCAACGGGCGGCAACGCACGACAACGGGCGGCAACGAGCTGCAACGAGGCGAACCCTCAGCGCACTCACACAATCGGCAACGGGCGGCGACTGGCGGCAACGGGCGGCAGCGGGCCGCAGCGTAGCGAATCCTCGACGCACCTTCCCAAGCTGCAACGGGCGGCAGCGGGCGGGAAAGTGGCGAATCTTCGACGCACCCACACAAGCGGCAAGGTGTGGCAGCGAGCGGCAATGGGCGGGAACATGGCGAATCCTCGATTCACCCACACACATCCTTTGAAAGACAAGTGAGAGTCCCTAGGCTA